CCTCAATGGCAACATCATCTTGTCTAACATGGCATTGCTATAAAATACTATTCAATATACTAACCACAACTTTGAAATAGTGGTGTCGTCCTTGAGAGAGTCGCCGAATACTTTTACTACAACTACAAGTATCGCAACTCGGAGAATGTGCCAGACATGGAAATTCCCGCAGAGTTGTGCCTTGAGTTGTTGATGGCAGCCGATTACTTGGATAGTTAGTATTCGATTACTCTCGGTCTTGTCGACATTCTTTACTAACCCTTATCCTTTCAGCATAATGCGTCTCCTCTCAAATCGGTCTAATGGCTACGATGGCGTTGGCGAATACTCGGGATGAGAAAATATAGATGTGGGAATATGGAGTCGATAGGAAATGAATTGTTCGACCTACTATCTTTTCATGAATACTTTTAATACGCGTGTCTTTGTGCACCCCATTTGAGCATATGCGGTTTTCCCTAATACACCCTGGGTTCACACGTCTATAGATGATGGCAGATCAAATCTTTACTTCCTCACATAACTCCTACCTCCTCTTCTTCAAAGGAACGTAGGTTTAGATGATGGAAACAAATGCATTCCCACTTGGCTTATTTCATTCGGGTCACCATTTATTTTATTTTCTACTTCTCACTAGGTTGAGGACTGACTGGAGGATGTATAGCTTCTTTCAATCAAAATTAAAAATTCATTACATTCTACCAAAATGCACTTTACACGGCATATCTTTTGACATGTGATCCGATTGATTGACCTCATTTTCTTTCCATGTTGCAATACCTACCTACCTACTAATTAGGGACTATCAAGAAAGTACCTAGGTAGACATCGTTCAACTTCATGTTACATCTGGGAAATCAATCACCCTAGGCAATAATGCTGTCGAGCCGTTTCACTTCATGATTATCCTCACCCACCATCCCTACCATCTGGAAGTTCAGACGAAGTAAATGTCACCACCTCCTTCGCTTCAGATCAAGACACCACGGATGTGTCATTAGGCGAAGTCCTCCGTGTTTCACAAAATTACAGGTAAGAGTAACCGCCTTCTCGTCTGATGTCGCATTGTGTTCATCTCTATAAGTTGAGATGATTTCGGCGGAACTTATACTGTAAGCTTCATCTTTTAATTCATTTTCTGAGCGCTGGTCGACTTCGAATTTGTAGATTTGAATTTCAATTTTCATTTCGTAATTCTTGTTGTTTTGCAAATTTAATTGGGTGCGTATTACATACATTCTACGATATATTACCTTCTACAGTTATGAAGACATCAGCTATTCTACTTCTCGCCATTCTCGGCATGGCATCCGCTTCCGTTCTCAGCACTACGAATGTCGCCACCGTTCTCGCAGGCGTAACAGCTCCATCCTCTCTCACCATACCGGCCGATGCTATGGCAGCTATCACTAAACTTGGCACTGGCGGTGCAAATACCGCTTCATTGACCGCTGCTGAGACTGCTGCTATCAGCGCTTGTACGGATGCTGGCCGAGCGAACAACACAGCTTCAAAGGCCAATCTCAATGATGGAACTGGGAGTGCGGGAGCTATTGCTTTGTAGGTTTAAATTTCGCATCATCCTTCTGGATGGATTGAGGAGGAGTTGTGAAAAAACATGATTTTAACGTCAGTATAGTGTAACGAATAAAGTCACGACTCACGCATGCGAAACTGCAGGTCAACAAATAGCACTGGTTACTTCAGGGACGGCGGCAAGTGATACAGATGTTAATCTGTTGATATCAAATGTGGGAGTTTTGAATGTGAATACCAAGGCTGCAGGAATTACTTCGAAGCGGGCGGTGGCGTTTGCGGGTTGAGGTTTTTATATTTTGCAGGAATTACGACAATAAACATTATTTCCTATCACCAACTTTAAAGATTAAAACAAAAAAAGCATTTTATGAGTGTCATTTACCTATTCCTTCGTGTTACATCTTTAATTTTGAAGATCTTACAATTGGCATCAGTCGTCAGGACTTTTTGCCGAGATCGGGAAACCCCACTTCTCGAGCGCCGGCGGGGTATCAAGAACGTGCCGGCAACTCAAGAAGATAAGATATGTAATTCATTGCTATCGATTAATGACCAAGAACTTCTATTCCTAATGTATCAGATCCTTTTAACTTCTCCTCTTCTTTAATTATTCTCTTTCCTGAAATACTCTTTAGAATCTAAAATAAACAACTACTACTCTTTTGCCTCTTACCACAACAATGGGCGATATTCAACATCTATCAACAGATCAACACTATAAGGAAATAGCCACAATTGCTCAAAAACGTCGAGCTGATGCTTTACCTAAAGAATATCTTCTTCCTGGGGAAGTCTTGGAGAATCTTCCACAAAACGTTACCGATGTTCCAAGATCATCTGGTCATTTCACCCCTAAGGAATTAGAAATTATTGAAACAAGTGCGGAAGATATACTTCAAAAAATTAGAGAGAGGATATGGACATCGGTAGATGTTACCAAGGCGTTTTCTAAAGCTGCTGTTGCTGCGCATCAATTGGTTGGTTATCTCATACCTCCGAAAACAAACAAAGACGCCTACTGACCATGATCACAGACTAATTGTTTAACGGAAATTCTCATTCCCGAAGCGATCAAACGAGCCGAATTTTTGGATGATTATCTCGCCAAAAATGGTGATGTAATAGGTCCGCTCCATGGCCTTCCAATATCTCTCAAAGATTGCTTCATAACACCACCCCATCCATCTTCGATTGGTATGGCATGTTATGCCAATGTTCCCACCAACCCAGAAGATGAAACTGTTTTAGTATCTTTGTTAGCTAAACTTGGAGCCGTTTTTTATGTCAAGACGGCAGTCCCGGTTGCAATGATGATGATGGAGACAATTTCGAATGTATGGGGTGAAACGAATGGTGCATATCATACAGGCACCACTTCGGGAGGAAGTTCAGGAGGTGAAGGTGCACTTTTGGCTATGAGAGGTAGTCCGTTGGGAATCGGAACGGATATTGGAGGGAGCATTCGGATTCCAAGTGCTTTTAATGGTCTTTTTGGATTGAAACCCACGTATGTATACATAATTTCCCTTCAAAACAGACAGAAAATATTGACAATACATCAACAGTTTCGGAAGATTTCCCATCTATGGTACTAAATCGGGTATATCGGGACAAGATTTCATCTACTCAAATAACGGCCCCATGTCTAAATCCCTCTCAACCCTTCAACTATACTGTAAAGCCGTTCTATCCACCTCTCTCTCACCCTGGCTATACGATCCCAAATGTCTCCCGATTCCCTGGCGAGAAAACACCATCCAACCTCCCGGCCGCAAACTCCGCATTGGAATCATCTCCGACAACGATGGGGAAATTAGCGTTCATCCACCCATCGCCCGCGGTTTGGCACTCACAAAAAAAGCCCTCGAAGCAGCCGGCCACGAAGTCTTCGAATGGGAACCTCTAGATCATCCCGAAATGGCAAAAGAAATGAATAATTCCTTCTACACCCTCGGCGGCGCCGCTATCCTCGAACTGACGCGCAAACACGACGAGCCGGTCTTTGAAAGTATGAAAAACTATGAATTTGCCTATGATCAGGGCGAACATGGAACGTTGGGACCTACAAAGTTACGAGAAATGATTACGCGTAGAAATGCTTTTCAAAAAGCATATCTGGATCGATGGACTCGTACAGGAGCGGATGGAAAGGGAGTCATGGATGCGATTGTTATGCCTGCGAGTCCTTGGACGGCCCCCAGACTGGGGGTTACGCAAACGGAGATTTTCTGTGTGAATTATACGGGGGTGTGGAATTTGTTGGATTATCCGGCGTGTACGTTTCCGGTGACGTTTGCGGATAAGGAGGTGGATGGGAAGAGAGGGGGGGAGTGGAGGGGGTTGAATAGGAAAGATGAGTTGTTGCAGAAGGATTATGAGGAGGAGTTTTATCATGGGACGCCCGTGGTGTTGCAGTGTGTGGGGAGGAGGTTGGAGGATGAGAAGGTTTTGGAGATGGTGGGGGTTATTGGGGAGGCGTTGAGGGGGTTTGGAGGTTGAGGGTTGAGGGTCGAGGGTCGAGGGTTGAGGGAAAGGGGAAAGAATGTGGAGGGATAGAGATAGTTAGACGAACAATCTAGATTAATCGAAGAACAAAAATCCGACACCTAAATCAAATCTACAAGATAATTTCCTTACTTTTCCAACCCCATTACCTAAAAACGTCCCAATATCCATACGAAAATTCACTATCTTCATTAAATCCATACCTCATTGAAAAGACGAACATGCAGATAGGTAGGTAGGTAGTGACCGTAGATATCACCAATATGCCGCTCATCTCCTCGTTCCTCGCGAAAAAGATGATCATACATACACTTCACCACCACTTACCTATGTACCTAATTATAATAAAACAGGAAAGCGCACAAGCATGACCCAACAAATTTCTCAAACACTATGTACACGAGGAGAAGTCACTGAATTCAAGAAACGGGAAAGAGTGTTTGGGTTAGAGCTTTACGTTCCTTGTTTTGGGGGGTTTTTCTATTTTCTACTTTTTTTTCTAATTGATTTTCTTCCTTTTTTTGTTTTTCATCATTTTCATCCCTTTTTTTTTGGTTGTCCTTTTCATACTTTTTTTGCTGTCACTTTCATCCTTTTCATCCTTTTTTTTTGCTGCTTTATGATTCCGTTCGCCAAGAAGGTGTCAAATCAGGCTGTAAACACAGACTTCTAGTGCTTAATCAAGCCATTCGGGAAACCTGTTCGGCGCGGATTTATTGGGTCTCGTGTTTCCATTTCCGCTTTCTGTGGTAGCGAAGGGACTGCTAGGTGGTGGTAGAGGATGGCGGGTGGTGCTGATTCAACAATTGATTTCCAATCGGCGGGAGATTGATCTTGTTCCCTCAAACAAAAAACATGTGTGGTTCATCTTCTGTTGTTTTGCGCATGAATCATCTCTTGTCTCTCATCTGATGCATGCGCTCTGGGAACTGAAAGATTCTCGATCTCTTCCAACTTCACAATCTGTATCTTGTTCCGGATCCTTCTCCTTCTGCTTGGCTTCTATTCTCGCTAGAGAAACGATTTATAAATTGTTCTCTCGCGGCCAAACTGGTCGCCTTTTTGTGCAATTGTCTTTGAGCTCGTACCATCTCTCCCTCTTTTTCGAGGACCTGCTCTTCTCTTCGGAACATCTGCTCTTCTTTTTCGAGGACCTGCTCTTCTCTTCGAAACATCTGCTCTTCTTTTTCGAGGGCATGCTTTTCTTCTTGGAAAAACTGCTCTTCTCTTTCGCGCATCTCCCTCTCTCTTTTGCGCATCTCCTCTTCTCTTCTCAACAAATATGCTGATTCTGCTTCTTGTAAAGCACCCTTCTCTCTCAGCTCTCGCATCTTTAGACTCGCCTTAAGAATCCTCTGAATCGATTTCTTTGTGTCTTGATCAACTGTTTCTTCTTCTCGGGCCACCCATCTCAATCTCTTTTCCAATTTCTCGTCGTCCATTATACTAACTTGATTCTCAAGCTCTTCGTTTCTCTTCCTCAACTCAGTAATCTCCCTTTCAAGTGCCATTTTTTCCTTGAGAACATATCTTCTCATCGTCTCCTCTTCTAAAGATTTTCTCTCCCAATCTGGTAACTTGGACGCGGCGACTTCATTCGATTGACCGACCTCTGGTCCTTGACTTTCATTTATCTTGTCCTGCAAGGTCATTTTGAAAACCGAAGCCTCAAAGTCGACAGCTTTATCCTGTTTACATAACTCAACAATTTCGTTCGGAAATATTGGCACGATTCTGCCTGAGGATGAGTTGGGAGCCGACAACGAACTGGATGCTGCGGCTCTCTGAGCATAGGCGTTGCGCTGAAAGAGATGGTCGTCGGGGGGAAATTCGTACATGAAATAATCATCTATAGTCCTTCTTCTTCCAAATGCCATTTTGAGTCGGAATAAAACAGATGTGATCAGAAATGAAAGTTACAGTATAGATTGTAGATTTGAAGGTAAATGTAATGTGTTAAGGAATGTAGAGTGAAAAGTAGGATGAAGTTGAATTAGAATGTATAATTAGAATTAAAGGTAAATGAGTATATTGTCAGATCCTAGAGTGATAATGATATGATATTTTAATTATGTGTGTATGTGTGTAAAAAGTAACGAGTGTAATTAAGAAGTATTAAGTGTGTGAGTAGAAGCGAAGGTATTAGATTAATATGTTGTTCACTGTTACTCAGGTTGATGCGAAGGGCGTTTGAAAGCTCTGAGCAAAAGATTGTCGAAGAAGATAGAATTCGGTGTGCACGAAGAACTGATATCAAAGGAGAAAGAAGAGACTCAGAGAAATGTGGGAGAGACATGGATTTTATAGTATTTCAGCTCTTTTGGAGCTAGTGATACCTCGAAGCTACTGACAAAAAATTGTCAAACTAGGAAACCATATCCAGCAATCATAGCCCTCGATGACGGCGTTAGATTTGCACTTCAGTCATATAAGGAAAGGCGAAGTTTTATTACATCATGACATTTGAACATCAAACTAGATCTGAAATCATAAAGTGGTAAAGTGACCAATTTTGTATCGAGACCAGTGAGTCTAGAATTGAAACTTCATATAACGGTGGAGCTCTGATAGGAGAGACCTTGGAAGCCACATAGTAAAGTATAATTTGGTCGACGACGAGATGAGCTAGAAGGTGTCGCTCCTCTTGGTATTCAACGGTTCCTACCAACTAACGTAGTAGATAGAAGTGTTTAACGTTAAATGTCATAATTCAATAGTAGTACTCTTCTCCGACAAATTATTCAGTAGCTCGGCGGCTTGGAGTCAGATGATGGTGAATTTCATCGGGAGAGGACGGAGCTTTTCGAGGCAAAATTGTGTAGTACATTAAGTCTCAATAGCTTTTGAGGGAAACCAGACATGAGAAATCAAAATTGGCTATGAATCTAGAAGAATTGAAGTAAATTATCAAGAATTGACGATGCCTTCCAGATTTAGACGACTCTAGACTCAACCGTTGTCGCCGAAGGAAAAGCTTAGCGGGGAACTTTATCGCGCTACTTCGAACTACGAAGCTTTAAAACGATTTCGCAACGTCATTGACCAATCAATATGCATTGTTTCTTGAATACAAAAGCCGAGACTTGGTAAATGGACAGATATGTGTTAACACTTGAAGGCAAAACGAAGGATGCGTGTACCCCACTTGGAATATTATAGCTTCAACGTCGTCGATGTCTAACTTTTTGACATATCGAGATTTGCAATAACTAAAATAGAATTTGTATCCTTTTGCTTGTGGTGTTATCTATGTCAAATCATGATATGTCAATATGGTATCTTTCTGCGATTTCGTGGTATGACGTGAGCATTTGATTTAGAGAGGAAGGTATGGTTACCCTAAGGTTACCAAAGTCGAACACTAAATTCAAACCGAACTTATGCAGACCAAAGGACGAAAGCTTCATAGCTTGAGCTTCATTGTATCGTAGTAAGTGTTTGATTTGTATTGGCTTCTGTCATATAAATGAAAATGAAATGCATATATTGGAGCTATGTCGTTGTCCTGAGTTATCTAGCGTATGAAATAAACGCGCAAAATACAATATTATCGATCATGGAGGGCCGAGCTCCACCCCCCCCCCCCCATTTCAGCCCCACAAATTGATACAATAGGAACCACAATGGTTTATATGATCCAATCATCGAAGGTTAAATTATAGCTATGTCTAATTAGATTAAGGAATCTCTGCCAGCAAATTAAGCAAATAGCTTAACAAGCTACCTAGCTTCTGTGGTCCAATGGTTAGGATTCCACCCTTCCAAGGTGGAGGTTCGTGTTCGATTCACGGCAGTTGCAATATCTTTTGCAATTTTTGTTGTGTATTTTTAAGCTTTTTATAATGCGTATGAAATGGAGGATTATCAACATAGGAGATCGTCTCGCTACCTTTTTGGAGATTCTTTTCCCCCTCCCGTTTTGGGAAAAGGTACAATTTTTTCAATTTCCCCCCCCCGAAGATATCTTGTATGTTTCATCAGTAGACTGGTACCAAGAAAGTAGGTAACAGTTACTAGCAAGTTTCGTTGAAGGTCGGGTGTATTCAACTTTCCATACTTTTTTACCTTTTTGATAATCTTACTTTTTTTGATTGCTAGTACAAGGGATATCATGATTTCTTTTCTTATCGGTGGTGTGGGTTCAGCTTCAATTCTTTAGTGGAACGATTGGTAGTGTATAGTAATGTCTGTAGCAAAGCTAATGATGTGTTTGACGAGTGTGTGAGTAATTGTGGCTAGTAAATACAGTTTCATTATATTTTCCAGCAACCTCAAACGACTCCTTCTCAGTCTCCCCTCTCACTTCACTTGGCACATCCATCATCTGGTGATTTAATGAGTGAGTGGATTTCCTTGAAAGGTACGAAATTTTAGATAGTAATATCACAAGCAAGAAGTTCCAATAGAATGATCATTTCGACCAATGGAAAAGAAGGGCTATGCAAGGAGACTAACTGCCTTGGTTGTACAAGCTTCTTGCTTATGGTTTTTCCAATGCCCATACTAATTTCCCATGGACCCCAAGATGAAAATCACAAAAAAAAAAACAACGAGTCAATGACGATGAGTATCCAAGCGCCATAAACGGGGTATCAATATTGTCAAAATAACTAACACTACTAACCAATCCAATATTCAAAACACATACCAAATCATAGACCGAAATACATACTAAGCAGTTGCTTCCCTAAAAGCAGCCGCAATACTAAATTGTCCCTTGCCTCGTACTTTCCCACCTTCTCCAGCTGGATATCTAGCCTCATATCTGAGTGCTCTCCCTTCGACCTTGGCCACTAATTCATATTCAACTCTATAATGTTCCTTCCCGCCCATACCGTCTTCTGGGTATACAGGTGTGATGATGCCTTTGTCGCGGAGAAATGTCATGTCTACGATGATGCGGCCGGCGATTTGTGCGTCTATTTTGTGTTAGTATGACATAATGATATAATTCACGTGAAAATTTATGGTTACTTGCCGGCATTTTTAAGGTTCCTGCGACTGTAGTGGGATTCGGTAGCGGTGTCAGAAACATAGAGAACTTCTTCACAGAGAAATTTCTTTTCGTCGATTGGAAAGGTATGATAGGTAGGGAATGGAGAGAACTGGTGGTCTGGACGAATTGGGTTTCCCTATTGATTGTCAGGACGAATGCCAAGAACATTAATGACTCAACATATTACCTTGACCATGAAGTAATCAATAGTGGCTACATATTTTTCACCATCCAATTCACTCTCATCTGGCCTGGCCCTTTCATGCCCGGGATATATTAGAGGTTGCCATGGCTCATGGCGGAGGAGACCATAGCTTGATTGGGAAATTCTTTGTGGCCCATTTTTCTTATCAAGGGCGCGAAGAACAGCACCAGATGCTACAGCTGTAATGCTTTAAAATTGTCAGCCTATTGGGCAGACTGAAAGATACTAATCTCACCATTTATGCATGTCTGCTACTAATTCGATATTGAATCTAAGTTTTCCAGATCTATCTGTAAGCCAGTTCTTGAGATAGCTTCTCAGGGAAGGAGAGCCACCAAAGCCACCAACAAGAAATACTTTCTTCGAGTACTCAGTAAGATAACGATTGGGGTTCCTTTAGTTATCTTGGAGCATACCTTGACCTCAAGTTTTTTTTCCACAGCTTGTTGAATCTGGTTCTCCAGCAAATTTGCGATACGCGTTAGAAGAGGATCGAAAATTTCTTTATAATCACTCCTGAGACCATATTAGTGAATGACCTGGCCAGCTGGAGACGGACCACACATACAGATTCATTTGTAAATAGTTAGCCTCGAAACGCCTTTCAGCTAGGCCAATGCGATTCATCTGTTCATCACCGCGCAAGCCAGCGATATAAACCCTATGTCCACACCTCTTCATGACATTAACTCGTCTCTTGTATTCATTCTCAAAGTCTGGTATCAATCGATTGACAATTGACTCAAGAGTATCGCCATTCTTGAAGAGATAATCTTCGTCTTGGAGGCGATTAAGTAACATGTCTTTATAATTATCATTGAGATAGCTGGAACCGCAATTGTCCCCTAAGATTACAAATTAACGTCACAGAATTGTTAAAAAGAACTGCTTAAACTTACCAGCGGGCTGGATTTTTTCATCTTGTAGACGTAGTGGATACCGATTGCTGACTCCATATGTGACGACATCGACGGTTCCACCGCCACAGTCAGCGATAATGAAAGTCTCACCAAGCTATACGATTATTAGCTAAGGGATTGAAAATTTGTCAACAAGACCTCACAGATATATCCTCTGAGCTTTCCAAGAGAAACGTAGCGGCAGCTTCAGGCTCAGAGATGAGGAAAATGTTGTCCGCACTTGTGACCCAAGGATTTCCGAAGGTGGTCGCCTGAATAGCCGCCTTGACAGACGTTTGAAGCACACGAGAAGCTTCTGGGGACCAGACAGTAGGTACAGTCATGACGAAATCCACAGGTGTTTGATCAGTGAACCCATGGAGATTTTTCAATTGTTCTTTGGTATGCTGTAATACCTTCACGATATAATCCGAGATTGGGTCAACAGCATCCCACATATCAGATTCGGTTTTGGATCGTTTACCATGTCTTCGTATGATGCCTTCCTTGAGAAGGCCAGTTAATGTGCTTCGAAGACCCTTTCGATCTTCATTAGTGTACTTGGTTTCCACCAACATGAGTTTAGCTCTCTTCACGAGACGTCTCTGACTTCGTGTTGAATTCGCATTGTACATTTGATATGGCACGCTGTACCCCCAGAGAAAATCGACAGAGAGTTCATCTTCCATTTCCGAATCTTCGGGCTCATTGATGGTGTCCCCGCCTGCTCCACTAAGAAGCAATGGATGTTGTCCTTGAGATAAATCGAATAAATTCTCATCAAATATCTCATCTTCATCGTTCCGATCCCGCTCGACCGGCTCTGGTGAGTACCAACTCTCTGTTGGAACTTGCTTCCTCTGGCCATCTTCTCCGTCGCTTGGCCAATTGATCACACTCAGGACGTCATTAGAAGAGCCTTTCATATTACCACAGTTAATTGGAACAATGCTGTAAGAGACAGATGTGAATGTAGTTCCGTAGTCTAGACCAACAACAACTTTATCTGTTGGGGTGATGAGATGTGATCGCATGTTGGAACTCCTCACCGATATAGCAGTGCTTGGGGTCAGGGAATGCATCGTCCTGTTGCCTTGATTTTGTGACTTGTCTCCACGTTGAGCTGGCACTGTCTGTCTAGAGACATTGCGATTCTTTGACCCAAAGGGGCCTCCTCTTGTTGCCATATTTTTTGACATCTCGAAGGCTCCAAAAATTTGACTTTTAGCCCGTAGAAGTATAAGGATGTATAGTCAAGCTTTGAATGATGCTTTCAAGATAGAGACTCGGGGAAATGGAGAGGGAGATGCGCCTCATGTGTTTATTATCTTCATACTTTGGAACAAGGCTGATAGAGCGGAAGCCTGCCGCGAATTTGACTATGCAAGTTCTTAGGCCTCGTTTTGAAGAAACAAACAGAAGTGATATATCATCAGCTACAATTCCTACTGGATGTCGGCATCTTACAGAATGATTCGTAAAAGATACTTGGCAAGGCATATCTCCAGGGTGACAGGGAAGTGGGCTACCGTGAGTAAAAAAGAAATTTATCTCACGAGATCATTCAAGAGAAGAAGGAAGCATAACTTTATCCTTGAAGTACAAAATGTGGGGGCGGGGTATGGACTGGAGTGGAAGGGGCCGAATCGGTTCTACTACATGTTATCTGATTATAACATCTGCTTATGCTTATTGGGTGTTAGTGCTATCCGAATAGCAAACTTGAACAATAGGTTGAGTTTTTCTTTTTGAGCAAACGCATAGAGACTATCCAGCAAATAGTCCAGGGCGGGAAAAGTGATTTGATAGGACGCTTGGATGCAAAATGGGTTGCTGCAGGAGGGACGCCACATCTTTCAGGTATCACGAAAAACCCCAGTACTGATTTCTATCCAAAATTCTATCAGATCCACAATATCTGGAGAATTACAAACGACCGACAATGAGAATGAGCTTGGTTGCTGGAATTTATGCAAGTATCGGATTTATCTGTCCGCATATCCCTCAAACACCATCATGAAAATTCAAACATTCCCAGATTGCTCAAATATTGAATCCGATAACAAATATGACGCCCTTAATCTGGAAAAAGGAGGATGACATTGAGCTACTTGCTTGGATTGACTTTTGCAAGCTGCAGAAAGTAGGAACCGAGGAAGACACGCTCGACTACATGATTGAGCACTCCCGCTTCACCAGTCGCGATGCAGTGAAGGAACATCTAAGCGAGCTATGGGAAAGATACGGTGATCAGAGTGAAGACTCGGACCAAACAATGTCTCTCGTTGATATGATAAGTAAAGGGTCTGCTTACATGACCAAACTTCCAGGCGAGATGCGCGAGAGCATCAGAACGAAAGTTGACGGCAATTCCAGCGATTCACTAATGCTGCTCATCATTGCTAAAATGGGGGATAATAGAAAGCTGAAGAAAGCCACGAAGAATATGAGGGGCCTCCCTTCAACGGAGGAGGATCAGAGGGGACTGAAGCGTAGCAAGAAGGCCGAGAAAGCAGATGATGATCTCCCACCTTCCAAAAAGCCTCGCTCGAGCAAAGTATGTACTTTTCTTGTCATTAGCACAGAACTTTGATTGATCTAGTCCATAGGCTAAAATATCTGCAAAGACGATTGAAGCTGATATTGTGAATGGAGTTGTAAAATCCCGATTGACAACCCAAAAACCGGCAACAACTTCGACCGAAGCTGCAGTTTGCAATGGCGGAGAGCTCACAAGAGCCAAATCCCAAGCATTCCAGTATGAGCCGCTAGACAAAACAGCAAATGGAGATAGCTGGCCAAAGCGTCTGAGATCATTGGAGAATAAACATAACCAAGAGATAGCTCAAATGCAAGAGCTCTGGCAAGCAGAGTCTGAGAAACTCAGCATAATGGAAGCCAAGGCCCAAGGAACGATCAGAGATTTGAGGGCACAGTTAAAACACCTGAATGAGGCACGAAGGGTTCGTCAAGAGGAGGAACAAAGAGCTTTAGAAAGCGATGCCTATGTTTCATTAGAAACCCGACAATTCGAAGACCTTGAGGAAATCTACCGATTGACCAAAGAAAATAGAGAAATGCACAAGTTCTCTGAATTCGCCGATTTAGATTTACCAGGAACCCTAAATATAGGACACGACACGATCGACGAAGCGATAGATCAAATACAATTCGAACTCTCCTCCATCTCTTGTCATCACATCAATACTCCGCAACTTTTTCCGAAGATATTTTCAATACCAAGCGACTTGCGCAACCTTATATATTCTGCTTTCAATAGTGACATTGAAACCGCCATTGGGAGAAATGAAGTCGAGATCATTACAAAGAAATTCGGTGCTCAAGTCTGCATCAGAGCTCTTGTGTTGGCTGCACTGAGAGATTGGGTTTTTATGTCAAGGTTTCCTAATTTCGCCCCTTCAAACCCTCGCATTCTATCGAGTTATAGGCACATTATCTCCAGTTTAGGTGAGTGTCCCGCCATTAATAATAATATAGAAAATTAACTTTATAGGCGGGGAAAGCAAGCTTTCTAGCTTGGACATAGCAGCTCATCGCGCTCTTATCGAAGGGAAATGGCTCAAAGAGGAATCGATACCCAAAAGAGCCACAGATCTAGCGGCCAGGTTCTCTAATGCAGTCGCTCCCTTGTTCGCAAGCACACCATACAGTGCAGAAGATGGATTGTTCCACACTTGGGGGGAGCATTCAGAATGTTGGAAAGACAGGCGAGCACATCTGCAAGAAATTTTCCAGACTGCATTAACCTTGAAAGCCGATTCTGTTGTAACAAAGTCCCGGTATGGATTTACAATCTACCACCAGGTACAAAATTTGCTGGGGACGAAACAGATGTGGAAGAAACGCCTAAAAGTGGTAGTAGTTGGATGCATGCATCATTTCACATCTACGACGCTGAGATTATTGGCAATAGCAACCAGAGCGCGTTAGTGCAAACGGAAAATTTTGTCAAGGTGTCCGAAGCAAGGGCTAGTGCAAAGTACAGCAAGGATTTGCTATTCCCCAAGAGATCGCCTGAAGTTGTTTCCAATCATATCACAGAGGTCGCGGAAACACCAATTCCCAAACATAAAAGTACGGATCAATCAAAAGTTATCATAGGAGCTGAAGCCTCTCTTACATCACCGGTTCCCGAAAGTGATGTTGAAAATTTGAAAGAACAAAGATCTGCTGGAGCAGAAGATGATGCGGAATCTGGCCATAGTAAAGATCCACCTCTTCCACGATGCAAAGAATGTGACAAAGAGTTTCCGGCAATAGCTCTACTTCGTAGACACGAAAAGAATAGTGAGTCGATTTTGGATCTTTTGTGACAAGCTTTGTGGTAACATCAAATAGGAAAATGCACAGAGTGCCCAGAGTGCGGTAGAAGATTTTCCCGCCTAGCTGCTCTACAAAATCACCAGAAGGCCGAGCATAGCGAATATCGTGCGCCCAGACCTGAGGAACTCCCCATCGAGCCGAGGCGGGCACACCCTGAGCCGGGCACCTCAGTTGGCCATAAAAAGAACCAATTCCACAAAATTTCAGTAACTGCTGAAGCTAAAGATGCCAGCCCGAATCGTCAACGAAATAAGAATCGTACGGAAAATCAACTCATCAAGGCGCCGCAAACAGTTTCTGCGGTTGCGTCAAAGGCTAGACCGGCACAAGTATGCCAGGATAACCCCAGACAGAAGATTCCCGAAGGTGAAATCGTTAACGCTAAGCCAAAATGTGATCTTTGCGGTAACGTATTCTCGAGCAAGGAGAGTCTACAGCGCCATGTTAGACGAAGTGAGTTCCACGCTCCATGGATCTAACCAGTATGTTGCTGACATAAGTTGCTAGATATCTGCTCACTCGAATGTTCAGAGTGCAAGGAAAATTTTGCAAGCCTCGAAGAAAGACGTTACCACCAGCGCAGGGAGCACAAGTCGGTAGGGGAAAAGCCAAAAGATCTAAAAATGCCTGAACCACAAACTCCATCGACCCCTCTCAAAAAAAGCGACAGATCGCAGATTTCAAATCAGACGAGAACTCCGTCCTCGAATAACACTCAAAACCGCGACATAGGTATGTCTTCCACCCTTCCGCATCAGTCTTTTCATTGATACACAACGACTGATAACCTGAAAGATGGTAAGCCTCGCTATAAAAAAACACCACGCAGAGAGACCGAGGATTCAGATGCTGATGATATGCTTTCCCCTTCGGAAATGGTGAAAATAAAACGTGCTCAAAGGAGAAGATCTACTAGATCTTCAGATGGACGAACTGAAGTGAGGACAATTGAAAGCCAGGAATCACCAGTCCGACCCCATGAAAAGCGAAGTAAGACTCCAGCAACGAAGAATGATTAAGGCGGTTTACAATCTTGAAGAACCGGTGCTTCGATGATGTGTCTTTTTCTCTTGCCTCTTGTAGAATAGAAAATAGGATATCGACAAAACGGGGATGGGATCCAGTTGGAGCTTCGAAAGAATTGGTCATGTTGTGTATCTAAAAGGGAGGAAGAAACTTTTGTACCAACGGAGAAGGAGAACAGGAATAACGGCCATTCATTTTGTTACCTGAATTGTATCATTACACACAATTCAAAGTTATCGTTGTAAACCTTGGAACTCCATTGATCTTTAAGTTTGAGGAAGTACGAGATATATCGAGGTGAAAGTGCGTGTGGCGTTTGTGGCGCATGGATAAGCCACCCGGACATGAAACGGTCGTCCAGATTCGGAAGCAAGCTAGCAATTCTTTGAGCTTTTGAAGATGTGCTTGAACCTGACGCAGTGCAGCCTGAGAACAGTGCAGAAGCCAGGGCATTGTCAAGATATTATGTTGTCCTCGGTGTAAGATACGAAAATATCTCCGCTCCTATTGTAAGCATGCGTATAAGCGAAAAGGTTAGAACTGCTCCGGACTCCTTTAGGAAGTCATCGAGGAGTTAATCTGATTGGCTGTACAAAAAGATATAAACTTTAATTGAACCAATGAGAGTGAGTTTCAATGTTGGACTGTAGGATTTGTTGATCTCGTTGATTTCCTGACCATAACGTTTCTGGCCTTCTAGCCACAATGAGCAACTTGGTACATGCTATATTGAGACGAGTCGAATACTTTTCTGCTCCTTTCCCGTGGAACCTACAGGTGGCGAATCCATATTTAAACATGATCCCGTCTGTTCGAATAAACATTAACTGCAACCTTCCTCATTCAACCATTAAACAACATCCCGCAGATTTAGTGGCATCGCACTGTACATAATACACCTGTACCCCGCACTTAGCATTTCCCACGTTGCTTAAGAATCCCATATATCTGGTCTGTTGCCACTTCCACCGCTACAGTTTGAACATATTGCTGTTCTTCATTCGCTCCACAATGTCCCATAACGAACCAAGTCGTCTTCGTACCGGGGAGTTGGAAATTGGCTATACAGAAGCAGTAGAGCGTCATGCAAATAGACATGTCGTAGCACCCAAGCCTGTATCGCAACGCAAACTAGACTTCGAAAATGCAAGGCCGAGGTGGATGAGAGAAATGGCTGCGGAGGCCATGGGGGTGTTCTTTTTCGTGTAAGATAAAAGAGGCGGTTAGATGCAACATCAACTGACAGTTATCCATAGTTATCCGGGAATTGCATCATGCGCATCATTCTTTCTGAATCCTGGGGACCCAGGGCTAGGATCAATTTTCCAAATTGGTTGGGCCTTTGCAATTGGTATTGCTTTCGCTATCATGTATGTTGAACTGTGTTATCAGGATACGATCTACCATATCGTTTCAATCGCTGACACGCAATAGAACTTGTGGAAGTACTTCAGGGGGACATTTCAATGCAGCAGTAACGATATCTTGTGCCGTTTGGCTAGGTGTACGTTTTTGTGGTCTCTATTTGCATATCAACATCAGCTAATTCACCCCAGTTCCCTTGGAAAAAGGTTCCTCAATACATCTTCGCTCAAGTCTTCGGTTCTTTTATGGCAGCCATGCTTTTAGTTGGACAATACTACCCACAGCTAATGGAACTTGCTGCGGAGTATCGTGCTAAAGGCTTGAGTCTCAATTCACCAGGCGGACCAGGAAGTATTCTTTGCTCGTTTCCTGGAGCATCACAATCATATGGATATCTGTTCTTCATTGAATTTTTTGCCGACGTCTTCGTGGTATGTGGCAAAGAATTTTCCAAACATTGAAGCATTTGCTGACACCTTTTAGGGAATTGTGATTTGGGCTTGCCTTGACCCTATGAATCCATTTGTGTCTGCATCTGCGGTGCCATGGGTTATTGGACTAGGTTATGGTAAGCATAGAATCCACGACTGTTTTCTTCGGATTCAACAGTTTCTTGATTGTTGTACACTTGCTAACCTCTTTTAGCAACAATGATCTGGGGGTTTGCGGATGTAACGATAGAGCTCAATTCGTCCCGTGACTTGGGTGCTCGCATCGTTGCAGCCATATTTTTTGGAGGCGATGCTTTCTCGCTTTATTCATTGATACCCATTCTCACGAGTATACCTGCCATGCTTTTTGGGACAGCATTGTATGAGATGATTCAACGCGATAGCTTTGGAGTTATAGCCAAAGGCCATAATGTACACGAGAAAGGAGAAGAGGGTATCATGCAACATTTATCCAAGAACGGTGCTCTTGGTGGAAGTGCCAGTACCTCGGGAATGAGTATAGACAGTGAAGTATGGGATAATGGGAGAAAGAATGATTCTGCTGTATGAATATTATGAAGGTCGATGAGGGTCGAGCCTTGATCATCCCTATATTTAATGAATAATGACAATGTATTTTAAGTAATAAAAAAATCCAATATTTTTCCAATCAATGTGCCATGTCTCGAGCATATGATTTAGTCGTTGCTGAACTTGAAGAGAGGAATTTCCGGCCTGAAATAACAGAGGAATGAAAAAAAAAATCATAGGCTCCCAGATTATCGCTCAATTGAGATCGATTGAATTATGTGAGGTTCTGAAGTTATCAAAGGGTCCTTGATATCCATCCATTGGATCGAGGTAGGTAGGATGAATGTTAGATAAACCTAAGGTTGTAGCAAATGTACTTCGTACCCAGAAAAAAAGGAAAAAGATAACACGTGATGATCGTTTGCAGATTTGGCCGTAAACAGACAAGCGTATCATCTTTTGATAGTCCCGCTCCAGCTCCAGAAACTAGTCAAAATCATATCCAATTCTTGATTCGTTGTGTGCACGACCAAGACAATTACTTATTACACCTTGACGATCTTAAGATAGTGCAATACTTTGAACGATAATGGGAAGGCCTCCGATCTGATACCCGACAGATTGTCATTCATGTAAAACAGTATCATCGTCAATTTCTACCTCATCAGTTTCATATTTCTACAATACCTCTTATGACTAGGTACCCCTCCTTTTATCCCGCAACTTTGAACTGCATATATTCATCTACGGCATCAACTCACTCAATATAATCCCTACCTTGGACATCTTCATCGCCCACCACCTCGATATACAGCAACTACTTCCGCTGAGTCTATACGCCCATACAATTAGAAGATGATATAGAAACATCGGTTTAAACTTTTTCTCAATCTTTATAATATTTAACAATTAATCTGATATCATGTTTCCAAATCGATCCATCGAGGATATGTCGTCAAGTATGGATATCGTTGAACCCGAAACGGGGACTGAAGTGAACGACAAACGCGAAGAAGCCAATATTAGAAATACATCACGATCACCTTCAAAAGCTCGGTCATTATCAGATGGCGGTCAACCAATACTTTCACCGTCTCCTAAATTCCGCGAACCAGAAAAGCCAGTCTCCAAAGATGATAGTTCCATCTCCGAAAGTCCGACAACACCAAGGCGACCTGCTGCACTTGCCCGAGGTCTTTCTTTGCAGATGCCACCAAAGGATTTTATGCCAGTAGGGTCTTCAGCATACATCAATCGAGTACCATTGTCACCAAAATTAGATCAATCACAAACATATGGGTCACCTACAAGTGTTTTGCCTAGACGATCTCGAGGTCTAGATTTTTCAAGAGCTGCAACAAACCTTCATCACTCCACACTTGCAGAGCAATCATCACCCGATTCGTCACCTACAATTACTGGCAGAGCTATGAATATCCCGAATAGAAAAAATGGATTAAACTTTACCAGCGCTGGGGAAGGTTCTTTGTGGTCTCCCGCGCCAAATACAGAAAGAATGATGGCATCCAATTCGCTTGGCAGTGTTAACATGATGGCCTCCGATGATTCTGAAAGTAGTTCCGACAATGATGATATGATGGAATCAGACGACATCGACGACTCTATTATTACAACACCTCAAATTAGCAGAATTACAGCACCTTTCGGCGGAAGTTATCACCCAAGCCCTGGTGGCGCCTGGTCTGGACAATCCCCCGCAGTCAATAGTCTTATGAGTTTCCAGTCAGCAAGATTAAGAAGTGGAAAGAGTCGCAAAGGATCGAGGAGTGGACCAATGGCTAGTCCAACCTCCAAATCACCTCCTACTATGCGCAATATCGAAAGCAATTACTTTAATAGACCAAGAACTGTGGATAATTTTCGTTCGAGGAGAGAAAGTATAAGCTGGGCTGCAAATCAATTACATATATCAGGAAGTGAGAGTGATGATGCTGGATTGAAATCCACTTTAGAGAATGTGGATGGTATGCCTAGCACACCTGGAAAAGATGGACAGCGAGGGGTCATTCGCAGGGTAGTGACCAGGAGGGGAAACATGCTAGTATGTATACAATACTTGTGAATCGACCTCTACTAACTTTTGATAGCCCAAAACAAAAGGATTCGCACGCATTCGTGCAGCTCTAGCTGAAGAGAGTGCACCAGTCGAAACCGAAGTTCGCAGAGAAGCAGAAGTTGTCCGCCAAACCCGCGAAAGTGATATGGATCTCGAACCTTCTCGACATCCCTCTATATCAACAATAGATGCACGCTCGTCACCGATAATGGGTCCAACACAGGATTCTCTGGAAGGCATACCCGAAGATGATATAATGGCTGATGCATCCAGTTCTCAACTATCTGGTAGCTTCAAGCAACAAGTTATTCGCAATTCTAAAGGCAAGGAATTCTGGGATTCTTTTAGTGATGACAATAATCGCACACCACCTCCACCCAATTTCAATCATCGCGGTTCCACTTCTGGCATGAGTGAAGATTTATCATTAGAGGCTCACCTCTCGACGCCTCTTCATCCCCATCGAAGCAACTCTGATTCCTCTCCATCTCGATCCTCTACTCCTCAAGCATCCGAACCTATGCGTAAAATCACCCATAAACGTCGTCGGGACGATGATCTCGATCCTACAAGTTTTAAGAGACGGGCGGTTAGTCCTGGCATGAGCGTACATAATAGTCCGGTAATGCAAAGTCCGATGCAAAGGGATTTGGCTCCCTGGGGCTCAAGACCAAACAGTAACGGGGAGCCCGGAAATGGAAAGAGCGGATTGGGGAATGGTTCGGCGGGGATGGGAGGCAGGAGAATTGGGTTTCAGGGTATGGTAGACACTAATGATGGATTGATGAAAATGAGTATTGAATAATGGGTATATGGACAAGGAATACGGGGTTTAAAATGGATTGAGCGCGGACATTTTGCTCATACGATGACTGGTTTTAGGGTGTTAATATTTTTTATGGGATCCAGTGGACCTAACTAGGATTGGAGGGCGTACATGTTTCTTGCACGGCATATTCAAATATCCATTCTGGTGTAGAGGTAGCATAGGAGAATCTGCCTATAGGCGAAACTAGCGATGATTACTCATGTAATCCAATCATATTTTTACTCTATTCACTTTTTACTACCTGTGAAGCCTTGAATTCATTGGTGGTGATCTATACGCGATTATCTCTTTTCATTTCAAGGTTGTTATAAATATTTGTTAAGTGAATAGTTATTACAAGCGAGTATCATATTGAGGGAAGTACGAGTGAGTAGCTTATGAGGACGACATGGTATTCTTTCCCAATTGAAGGATGGGGGACCTTAGGTTTTAAGGGGAGTTTATGAGTTTGGACCGCTGAAGCAGATATGCCACGAAACATCTTTGAGATTTGACTCACAAGTGGTGATAGGTTAGTGCAGGATCCTGAGAGTGGAGAGTGGAAAAGAAGTAAGTAGGAAGTTGGCGATCAGTCGAGCTGTTGAGAAGGTAGTGTGTGAGAGAGATGAAAATAGATGAGAGGTAGGAGATAGGAAGTAGCTCAGATGTTTGGTATTTTAGGTGTGGAATACTTGTATCTAGACACATAGCGTGTACAGATTGATTCCAGTGGGTTTATAGGGATTTATAGGCTTGAGGCCCTGAAGTAGATGTGCAACAAAAAGTTATGGAAGGTAGGTGAGCGGGTTGTGATTGGTGGAAGCAAGCGAGGAGGGGGTGAAGTGTGGATTGAGTGAATGTGAGGTGAATTAAGGGAGTAAATATGGTTTGTGAAGAATCAGATGTGAAGAACCAGATGTGAAGAATCAGATGTGAAGCTAGATGGGATAGAGCGATTGTTTAAGGGGATTTATGGGGAGGGTATTTGTGATGTGTAATGAGTTGGGATGATAGGAAGTAAGATGGCGAGCAATGTGTGGAGATTTATTGGAGTTTGTTCAAGGTATGGAGATGACTTTCAGAGAACTTGGGAATGAGGATACATTTGGAAATCTCAAAACTGAATACCTACAGCAGATATGCAACAAATGGGTTTGAAAGGGGTGATGTTGTGTGTAAGCGAAGCGAAAAAGCAAACACGGCAGTGGTGAATTGAAGGATAGGTGTGATGTTAAAGTATCTTTTCTCTTCGCTATTCATCTTTCAAGATCACTTTCAGTCTTTGTGTACCTTTTGTAGAAGTTTATGCCTTCAAATTACCAAGTTAGTCCGCTGTGATATTTCAAAGACTTGATCAGAAAGATGGGATACGTTGGATTTTCCTCATTTCTACTGTCTTTACTTTTGTCAAATGATTTTCATTGGGACTCCAATCTCATCTTACTAGCTTCTGATCTTCTGTTTACCCCATTTAATCTCCCACTATACCTCATGTATCAAACCTTCATTATCTATTATTCTTTTACTCTCTTTTACCATCTACACTCATCTTTATCCTGACTTTTTCTTCATCATAAACATCGAGATTAAAGTAAATGATGAAGAAAGCTTGTTCAAGGGAAAAAAAAAAGATTTGAACCAATCCACTTGGGCTTTGCAAAGGGCACAAAGGAAAGAAGTAATCGTCTTCCCCTTGCTTACCTGGCTTCCAAGCTTTGTAGTTGCACGCTGATGACAGACAAGAAATCCACGATGCAATCAAATTTTATATATATTATGAGCTCCCCATAAAGTATGATCAGATTGTAATTTTAATTTCCATAGTCTTCTGCACTCTCCACTTGCGAACATGGCATGTATGTAGAGGTGATTCCCTGAGGTCTTGAGCAGTCCCACCTTTATTCCTGTCTGTTCTTTTAATATTTACTAACAACATCGAAGCAAGCTCTCCAGCCACGGGGGGAGACATCGCCTTAGAAGATGAGTGAGTTTTACTAATTGCTACACTCAAACACAGCTAATAAGTGAAACAGTAGTGACAGCGAGCAGCAAATAACTTCATCCGTTCTCTATGCTCTTTGCTAATTTGAAATTCAGCACATCTGATGAGAAGTGGGTGGTACATTTTGCAAGCCCCTCATTTTCTGAAGAGTCAATACTAATGATTCAGTCCGTTGAATATTGAAACCTTGCAGGCACCTTTTTTGACCTTTTCCTGTCTATTATCTTGGAACCGCTTATGCTCCTGTCCAAGTCACTAACTTAGATATAGTCTGAGGCGTATCGAGACGTTGTCAGTGCCTTCGCTCGAGAAGTATGACTGGTTGAGAATTCATTTCTGACCTTTGTAGGATGATAGAAGCCAATCGCAGGTTAGTATTTTGGACCGAGTCTGGCGAGTGAATAACAAATCAGTGCTGACGCAGACGGCCTTGGGTCCAGAGATGTATTTCTTGAAATCCGGTAGGTCGGATTTAACCAATTGTTTGAAGAGGAGAGCTTTACATAATTGAATGCTGATGTTCTCGGCAATAGAATCACCGAAATACAAGAGCTATACGTCTCTAAATTATCTGCTTGTAAGATGCTAACATCTCGCAAATAGCATGAGGGAGCAGAATATTCTGTAAGTTTCGAATATTATAGGGTTATTCGCTTTCTTGCAGTAATTTGAGCTAATACATCATGATATAGCAATAGCGCAACAGAGACCGCAAGACAAGAGGAGAGAAGAAGAAGAAATAGTTGTGGGGGTTGGGGTAAATGGATCGCCCTAGGTTTTCTAGCGTTGGTGCTTGACAAGTAAGTTATACTACATACTTTAATCCATTCTAAGACCCCGAATCCTTAATAATCCAACTTAAATATAGTATAATTGGTGCGATTAGCCTGGGATTTGCCATCTATTGGCACAACAAAAAGTAATCGGGAACAAGTCGCAAAGTTGTGAATATCACAAGTCTTGCTTCGAGGATACTCGTGAAAGCAGCGCAGATACGAACTCGCAGCGGCGGGATCGACACGCCAATGACATACAGTTTCTCCAAACTCAAGAGGACCAGCATAGGCAGATGACTATGTGGCAGATTTGAAGTCGCTATCAATATCATGACGTGGATTTCTCATTGAGGATGGAAATTCTCGATGTTGAACAGGCTATTTGACACACCTGAGACGAAGTAATACATAAATTTATGGACGGTAAATATTGTTCACATGCGCCTGATATTTTTTCTTTGATGGCTGTTTCGATATGGTTCCGCGATCATACAGCTAAGTGCATCAATCCCTTTGATGTCCATCTCCTTGAAGTCTTCAACATAACATATCGACCTCTTAAGACGTGAATTCAAATAGTTGTACTACTAATTTTCTTTCTCATCTTCAATGGAAGAATCGAGTTTTCCGCCTCTCTTTGAACGGTTTTCAATGAGTTCAAATCAGAGTAATGAGCTTTTGTTTGACGTTATGTTCGACGAGTTATCATCTTTCCACCATTTGCAATGTGTGTAGACAAGTCAAGACAGACTGATCGGGGCAAAGACTTAACCCTAGCTACTATAAATCTGGTCGTCCCCCCGCCGTAGCACTCTCCTCTGCCAGGACTAACTCCCACTCACTGCCCTCTTCGTTCCCACCCGCCGCCCACCACTCTCCACACCAAGCACTAGTCCGTCCCTTTCCGCCCCACATCACAGTCTCAAACATATACTCTAAAACCGCTCATCACTACAACAATAACACAACATCTTTGATGGTCTAACGGTCATGATTTCCGCTTGTCAATAACATTACAAGTCGCGGGAGACCGGGGTTCGACTCCCCGTCAGAGAGTTCATTCTATATAGAATTCCTTGAATCTCATGTTCACATATATTCTTTTTGATTTCTTGACGCAAAAATCTTTTTTTTCGTAGGCGGGAAGTTTGGCGTGTAGCGGACCCCACTACTACCTTGCCGGAGCCTTTTTGCTTTTCTTCAAAGGTGGGGCTATCTACAGTGAATGAGAGGGGCAGGATTTTGGGTTAATGATAGTGGTTGATAGATAGTGAGGATGACGTTGGTGTCGAAAGGTGAATATAATAGATCGTTGGTGAATCATGAAGGGAAAGCGTAGCGAGGTTAGTGTAGTCTTCTGCACATGCCGAAATGATTGGATCTTCTCGAAACTCTTGAGTCTCGATTGCTCTTTTGGGACGCAGACAATAAATAATACAGCTAACAAAACTCTAATTTGAAGTTCTAAAAATATATTCAAATTCACCTATTTTTTCAATACAAAATCCATGATTCATCGTTGGGATAGGATGAGAGGGATGACTTCATTCCATTATCGATTCTTGGCGATAGAAATCGTTATCAGGACCTTGGCTTGCAGGATGTGGCTTTCGCTATCATGAACTCGAAGCACATGTGAATGATAGATATGATGTGATGTGATGAAGTTTGGATATCGATGGAGGCATTCGATGTTTCGTATGAAGAATCAAGAAAAGCTTGTAGTGTCGGGGACTCGTACAGTTAGTGAGTGAGCTTTCCATGTGAAACTCATTTCCGCGTCGCTTGATTCTCATCATGATGGATCATATGAAGAATGATCAATTAACTGGGTTTGGATGGTAAGATCATAGGTTGTACAACACATTCAATAACAGATTCTAGATCTTTGCATGTTGGATTCTAGATTCGAGAATTGTGCAAAATGATATGATGTGGTGTGAAGTGGTGATGTGATTTTATGATTATCCTTGCGACAACTTGCATTTATCGAGCAACTGATGTGCAGATGTGCAATTGAGGTATGTAACGTGAGCTAGCATTTTGCAAGAACGCGTCAATATACAGCCAGACAGTCTAAACTTTGGTTCAGTTGCTCTTCCATGTGAAGATTATAATGGAACAGAGTGGTGATCTTGAGATCTATGGGTGTGGGTGGGTTGATGTGTTGATGTGTTCGTGTTTTACTATGTGGACATGTTGGAGACTTGGAGTGGTGCAGATGCGTTGAAGAGTATCACCGTCGCCGCTGTTCCTAGTCGAAATATGAAGACTGAATCTCACGTCTAGATATCAGTGGAAGGAATTATTCCGTACAACCTAACCCATCGAGAATATACGAATAGAACTCATACTCAAGCAAACCTGTATCGGTGGCGGTGAGTCTATTTCCCGTTGTATTCCATATCAATTATTAGTTCTCAGATCCTCTCGTTCAATAATTATCCATCGGGAAATCTCGAAATCTCAGATATCATCAATGCCAGGTACGGATCCATGAATCCACAATCCAACCAGCAAAGTTCGAGCGAAAGAATATGCACCAATCATCATTCAAGATTCTTAATCTCGTATGGATTCTTCAGTCCTGGTTTTTTTTAAGGCCCGATACAAATTACAATAAAGTGGCTCATGAGAAAAAGTGGTTACCCTTGAGCCTCACCCTTTTTTGTCACGCAATTAGACCAATTCGTCTCGAGTTCGTAAACTTTTCCAGGGGCGGGAACAAGATCAGATTGTGACCCATGCATAATTGTGCCTTATCGCAGGATTTTCTGAAAGAATCAAGAATTGAATTGAGAGAAGTCGAGGTCAAGGTTCCATATCAAATATTTGTGGGTATTTTTCCCATGAGGCATTTTTGAAGTGACATTGAAGTGTGACTTTGGAGGTTGATCCATCCATAATGGGTTCTGTATGATATGTAGGATCCATATAGCCCTAACCGGCCATTTACATTTTCAGGTGTGGCAGCGGCACCGACCTAGGAAATGCGCAAATCCTACTCGAGCAGACATCTCTTTATGCGAAGTTGCGGAGTATATACGGCGTCGGGCTGTACTGATTAGAATGAGCGGCCTATTCTCGGTGGCGGAGCCCTCTAATGGTATCGATGATACCAGATGCAGTGTCGGTTGTTTAACTTTTGCTAGATAAAGAACGAAACGTGTGAGAAAGATTTGATGCAGGCGCTTCCGTCCGTGTCCACTGTCAAAGAAAGGTCAAATACCGGGACTTATCGAGCTTATTCGGATTTCTAGATTTTTAGATTTTTAGATTTTTATTTAGAAAAACGTTCATAGTTTGTTGATCAGGGTTGGAACTAATTAGGTCGAAACAGTACAGTAGCGTCGGATTAGAAGTATGCATCGGAATCATCCTGAATCAGAACCCGCTCTTTACGACTTATCCTTATCGAATAATAGAAAAGGAGATTGATGCTATCGGTAGTCATTAGCGTTTACAGTATAGGTACCCTGTTTTCAACTACCCGTCCCTCACAACCGATGATTTCTGGTTACGCCGTCAAAGTTGTTATCATGTGGAAGTCATTCGATTTCTGAGATGTCGCTCATGAGGTTTGATCATGCCATATCTAGGGGATCTCCTGTCTCTTATCAGATGCTCACACCTACCGAGTATTCGCACCTCGCTCGAATCACCCCCTTTTCACGTGTCAAAGTAGAGCTAGTAGGTGCGTCAAGTTACATCGAGGTTCAGCACGTTTCGGAATGAGGTTGATCTGACCTGACTTTCATGAATACAGTATATGCTGCAGCTGTTTTTGACGGGTTACCTTCCGGAGTTTAGACTTTGCCCTGCTTACTGGGTACTTGCTACCGTAATGCTAGGGAGATACTCCTATTGATATCCACCTTCCTGCAGTACCCGATGTCGAGTCTTCAAATGTTAGATCTTTTAGATATACCCGGTACACATCCGAGGAACGGAAGAAAACTCCTTCAGCCTTGGGAATTATCCTGGGCTTAGTGTGCTGGGTAGCTAGGTTGGGTAGTTTTTATCACATTATCATTTGATAATCGAATATGCGCCAGTCAACCACCATCGATCAATCATCTAACAGTTTGGGACTGTGACTGTGACGGTGACTGTGACGGTAAGAACCTCGGAAGTCGAAGAAGTATATATGGTTCAAGTAGCATTCACCATCATCGTTAGATCCAACTTGTGAGGAGAGAAAGTCCGAATCTATATTTGTGTGTCTGTTTGATTGAAAGTCTCCAATTTTTACGGATACGACCGTATCGGCACTTTGGAATCTTTTTGATACACCAACGAAAAGAAAAGGGTAAAGAAAAAGTTCTCGAACATCAGCAAAAAAGTTTCTCCTAAGGTTTTCTCCTAAGAAGGTGACCCCCACTAGAAGATATCCACTTCATACCAAGAAACCGTAGCCCCTTCCGATTTGTGACGTGCGGAAGCGCCACTTTGATCTACTTCGTACCCACGCCTACCCAGCTTGACTGTGTGGATTTTCGTGAATTGCGCCTGAGCCACTGGATTATTGACTGGTCATTGGATTATTGAAGTGGGATTGGGATTTGGATGGAGAGAAGAGTACGCAAAAGAGTACCTCGATACCGAAGAAAGGAGAGAGAAAGAGGGATTGCGACAAATATACTAGTAACAATAGGGTAAGGACGAAATCTTTGAGATACAAAATACAAAGAAGGACTAGAGGAAAGATAACTAAAAGAAGAGGTCATAATTTGTGATTTCTTTTTTCAATCTTTTTTATACTCATATGGTTATTGCCCTTTAATATACACCTGTGCAGTATATTGGCTGCAGAACAGAAAGAGCGATTCGCAACTCGCACTACCACTTTCACGCATTTCCTTGGTAACTGCTTTGGAAAGGAAGTCGCCGATACGAGTGGAGTATAAGTATTTCTCAACATTCGGAGCTCACTCCTTGACAACTTTGCACCAACATAATAAGCACACGAAACGGTCGGGAGATTCTGTCTTTCGTACTGACGCCAAACAACTCCTGAATCATTATTTCTCATTTGGCATACGACCAATAGTCGAGTTAATAGGACGTTATGCCTAATTTCTTTGGAGGCGTTACTGGAAGAGGTGTTTCGACACTTTTCGAGATACGGTATGTTATAATATATCTACGATTTTGTTCCCTCATCATTTACTGACATTTTGCAGTCTTGACGAGGAAATCATCGTACTTCGAGGAGGTGAAAATGAAGCATCGAGTCAATTGCTCAAGGGATCAGTAGTTTTATGCCTGCCAGCTGCTCTGAAGGTAGAAGATGTACATCTTCGTATGACTGGACAATTGAAAGTCGGGTGAGTTTTTTCAAGGCATATGCAAGGGCTGAAAAACTAACCACCACATGCAGGTGGAATGATCAGCGAGTGACACCTACCGGTATTTCGAATAATCGAGTCGATAGAACTACTGAGATTTTCTGTCATAGATGGGCGCCGTTTGTGGGTGGAGCAGGGCCTGGTTCTTCCTCAAAGGGATTACTTTTACCAGCAGGAAATTATGAGTGGCCATTCGAACTCGTCATTCCAGGCTCCATGTCAGAAAGTGTGGAGGGTTTGAATGACAGCCACATTGTTTACAAATTGAAGGCAACAGTCGCTAGAGGAAAATTGGCATACGATTTACATGCTTGGAAACCGGTGCGAATCGTTCGAACTTTGGACCCTTCAGCATTGGAATTGGCTCACGCCATGACAGTCGAGAATGTTTGGCCAAATAAAATCGAATATCAACTGGTTATTCCACAAAAGGCCATAGTATTTGGTACTGCAATCACCATCGAGATGAGATTCACCTCCTTGTTGAAAGGCTTAAAAATCGGCAAGATAAAGTGTCATTTGATCGAAGTACAAGAATTTGTTCTCCCAGGAACATCTACGACTTCGGATAGATATTGGAAAAACTCCAGAGATGTGGATGCTTGGACCTTTGAACTGAATGAAGAAGAGCATTATCAAGATATGCTTGACGACAGTGGGCAAGATGGATTCAAAATGACCGAATTCATGCCACTGCCAAAAAGATTGAGCAGATGCATACAAGATGTGGACGTACATGGTATCAAAATTCGCCACAAGGTCAAATTCAACATTGCATTGCACAACCCAGATGGGCATATTTCAGAGGTATGACTCCCTTGTCTTTAATCCATGCAAAAATACTGATCAAATATAGCTCCGCGCAACGTTACCAGTCACAATCTTCATTTCTCCCAATATGCCATTAACTGCCGAAGGTGCTTTAGTGGACCAGACACCAACAACCAATACTCAATCAACTGCAGTATCAGCACATGCACCACCTCTTTATGGAGAGCACGTATTGGATCAACTTTACGCCGACATGGATCAATCTGGACTAATGACCCCTATGCCACAATCTGGAATGAACACTCCGTTCTACGCCCAGTCTCGAGCAGGTTCATCAGAGAATCTATCTGCCTCCCCAGAATCTCATCATCCGGCAGGCGCCGTTCCCCCTGCAGCATTGTCATCTAGGCTTCAAAGTTTAAATACCAATTTAAATTCTGGCCGGAATAGCTTTTTAAGACGATATGGAGGATCTGGATCCGGAGGAAATACTCCTCACCATAACGATGATCCCCAAGGAAGCTATTTTGATTCACACCATGGTCATTCCGCCTCTTCAGCAACTGCCAGAAGTAATCCTCTTAGCAGACGAGGAAGTTTTAACGAGGATCATCACCCAGATGCCACTAGTACCACGATGAGCAGCGGATACCATACTCCTGAACATTTGGATTACAATGAAATGGGAGATTTAACCAAAGTTCCTTCCTATACTACAGCCCTCAAAACCCCTGTAAGAGGAATGAGTTATACCGAAGCACTGCCCAATTACGAATCTGCCATCTCAGCACCACCAAGTCCGACATTACATGCAAGTAGTGGCTCAAATACACCGCATGAGCACCCATTGGACGGAGGTCAGTCTCATTCACACTCACACTCAAACTCAAATTCCCATTCGCACGCGGATACGCATAGACACCACCATGGACCGGGATTTTTGAGAAGAAACCCATTCTCCAGCATGGGATTCACACCGTTGCATCCACCATCACATGCACATTCGGGGGAAGCAGATGAAAGGAGGAGATTGCACTTGTTACAGCATAGAGATAGGGTACATTAAAAGAAGGAAGATTGGATAAATTAATGGAATAGACCATCGGAATGGAATGCGAGATCCAAGCATCTTTTGGCGCAGGAGGGTTTTGAAATAGACTTGGTACATTGGGAATTTTGGGGGCGTTCAGCTTGATACCTTTTGATGAGATACCGTTATAGAAGCGTTAAATGCTGGAAGGTTAGAAAATGCGAGGAAGAGGCTGCATTTATAGTATTAATATTCTCCCCGCTCTCGCGATTAAAGAGCGATAGTTCCTCTTGAATACATAGATTCAACATTTTCAAACTTGACAAATTTCACATGATTCAATTAGCTGCCACAAGATGAGAACACCAGAAGTATTATCACATAATGAACTTGTCAAATTCCGAACTTGTAGAACAAAATTCGGCTTACCGAAGTAATACCGAACACCTAGGTACACATTCAATCAGACGTCATCTGCAGCAATGAATCTGCTTTGTGCGTGGAATCCGAGAATATCAAAAAATGGAGATGGAGATATTACAGATGAGAAAGGATTTTTAAATTGACATCAAGACACCTAGGACGGTCATATATTTCAACTCTAATATCTTGAGTGAATTCAACTGCTTACTTTGCCCAATGGCGTAAGCCGATCCCGAAGTCGCGTTTGAGAGATCATCCACGCTCCAAGCTCCAAGCTCAGAGACCTCGGGAGTCATAATATCACAACAATCACAACATACTTCGCTGAATTTCTCTGATTCGAAACTGTTGAATTCGTTTTACTTTGAATCTACGGTATCCCTCGATACAATTCCTAATACCTTTGGGATCCAAGTCTCTAGAGTACACCTTGATTCAGAACTCACTCGATGCCCTCGTATCTAACATAGATATCTACACAAGCCGGGGCCCATCACCCATCGAAACCATGGAGCCCACAAATCGTACCCTTCTCCTTCGATCCTCCTCCCCGTCCTCATCGTTACGATCACCATCCGAATCTTCCTCTGCTTTCCGCGACCAAAAGGCTCGTAAACAAGATATGATCCGCTATACCTCCTACGCCTCCGCCATCCTCTCCTGTCTCTGCGCAGGTTCCATCACCGCTTATTCGCTTTATGGCCATTTATTTCAATCGCGATTGCATTATACGCAATTACAAGTCAATATTGTTATCATCGCGGCGGAATTGGCAATGTATCTGCCAGTGCCGGTGTTTGGATATCTATGCGATCGGGTTGGACCTGCGCCACTGTCTCTCGGGGCGGGAATTATGTTTGGAGCCGGATATGGATTGGCGGCACTTACATATAAGAGTGGAGAGAAAGATATAGAGGGTTATGTGACGGAAAGAGGATGGCCAATTATTTGGATGGTGATTGCATTCATGATTATTGGGATGGCAACGACTTGTATGTATATTAGTGCGGTGACGGCGTGTGCGAAGAATTTTGGGAAATCGAAATATAGAGGCCTGGCTCTTGCATGTCCAATTGCAGCGTTTGGGTTGAGTGGGATGTGGCAGAGTCAGGTGGGGGAGAAGATATTGTATGAGAGGGGGAGAGACGGTCAAAGGGGAGATGTTGATGTGGGAAGGTTCTTTTGGTTTTTGGCTATTACACTTCTTGTGGTGGGAGTTATTGGATGTGGATTGTTGAAGATTGTGGATGAGGATGAGTTGATTGAAGAAGCTGTTGAGGAATTGGAGAGGAGTGGGTTACTTGGGGAGGAGGAAGGGTATACCAGGAGAGGATATGGTACTTTGAATGGAGAAGAGCGAGGTGGCGTGGATGAGGAGGATGAAGAAGCGAGAAAGAAGACTTGGTTATTAAACGAGGAAACCAGACGATTTCTGAAAGATCATACAATGTGGTGGTTAGCCATTGGATTCTTCTTCGTCTCCGGACCAGGCGAGTCGTTCATCACGAATTTGGGCACAATAATCGGCACGCTTAATCCACCTACAATCCACAATCCTACTTCCGCAGCAACACATGTTTCAGTTGTTGCACTTACCTCAACCATCGCTCGTATCCTATTTGGTACCCTCACCGATATACTGGCTCCGGTTCCTATAACACATCATTTCGGTTCTCTGTCAAATTCTTTCGCCTCTCTCCCACCACAATCTAGATCTCGCTTCACAATATCCCGTATAACGTTCCTTATCTTGTCCGCTCTCCTAATCCTCTTGGGTGATATCCTACTGGCTGCAGGAATTTGCCAAAACCACGCTGACCGCTTCTGGATTGTTTCTACTCTCATCGGATCCGGTTACGGCGCTTTATTCTCCCTGACTCCTTTAATCGTGACGGTTATCTGGGGTGTTGAAAACTTCGGAACCAACTGGGGAATCGTAGCAATGGTTCCAGCACTAGGTGCTACGCTCTGGGGTGTGATCTATAGTCAAGTTTACCAGAAAGTTGCCGAGGGATTATGGAAGGAATTCCTTGGTGATGGAGTACTTTGCTGGGGACAAAGCTGTTACGCGGGGACTTTCTGGGGAATGGCAGGGAGTGTGGGTGTTGGAATTGTATTTTGGGTTTGGGCTTGGAAGGGAAAGGATGGATGGAGCGATAGGGGAGTTGTGGTATAAACTACTCATGTGGAAATCTGGACTCGTGTGGGGGTTTAGATGTGATGGGTATACGAAGTAATGTATGAAGTTGAGAGTTTTGATATAAGCATCTAGCGTATGTACTCATGGTATTAGCAAATCGGCATTGGGTTGGTTATTGAGGAAGGGAATGATAAATTGTGCATATGACCTTTCGAAGGTATACATAGGCGTCTGTGGTTTGGGATTAGTATTATTTCATTTGGTCTGGTTTATTTGTTGAGGTGCACTACACGGCATTGTTTTAGTTATGTATTGAATAATCGGGAGCTTTGCATGGAATGTTCTTTGCGTATTGGGCATTTTCTGAGTTGCGGTTTGTGGATTATGGGCTAAGTTACATGATATCCCTAGATATCCATTAATGATATAATTCTCGCCACTATAGGGCTTGGAAAGATGTAATGGTGTGAGTGAATAGCTGGTATAAATTAGTGGAACTTATATAGCATCATGCTTTTTCACAAAATCTCATCTAATAACTTGAGTCATCTCTTCTCCGAATCTGAATTCGCCAGCATCAAAGTAACGACCTCCCCTTCTCTCTCCCTAACTATTATAATACCACCCCTCTCCTCTTTCTTCTTCATCCACACCTCACCATCAGTCGTCACCACGATCTCTCTCACCAAATTAATTCCTTCGCACACGCCCTCTTTGAACCCCGAGGATCTGTACATCATGATCACACGCGGCCACACACAAACTAGGTACAGGTGGAGGCGAGGGACAACATGAATTCCCGTTATCTCCGAGTTTTGAGTATGATGCGTCTTTCACACTGTCATTACTACTTCTCTTTGTCGCGAAAACGCGGGACGGGAATGGAGTTATGGTTTTGCGGGGGGTGGGAGGAGGAGTGTATGTGTGTCGGGTGCGGAGAGGTACATTTGCGATTTTTGAAATTTTGATTGTGCATTCTGTTGGTGTTGAGGGGAATAATGAGGAGTATTTTTTCATTTGAAGTTTCTGCTGGTATCCATGTACATACATGTGTGTAATGTCGATTTTTCTGAAATCGACTGTTCACATCGGAAGATGCGGTTTGGAAGTTCTGCATGGGATGGATGGAACCACTGGTAAGTAGGTAAGCTGACGTACATACATATGCAAGGCATACGCCACAGCAGGGCTGAGATTTTAAGAGCAAAGGGGCTCCCTTCATCCTGGATGATTACATCTTCGTTCTTTTTCCTTTTGTTTTTCTTTTCCTATTCTCTATCTACATCCTCATATTCCCTCTTCAGTAATCCACACACAAATATCTCACAATACAACACAGTTCAACACAATGTCTATACTCTCACATTTCTCCCTCCCGACTCGACGAGCGTTCCGCACCGGTTTGTTGACGGGTACGTCGGGTTTCCTGATACCTGCTATTATGAATAAATGGGATGTTTCAGTGCTGCGGGCTGTGTTATATGTTCTGATTTTGTATACGGTGTTTGCGGGTTGTGAAGCGGTGGTTTATCGGATGGTGGAAAGGAAAGATGTGGGGAAGGAAGAGGAAGACACAGACAAACAAGGACTAGAGGCAAATAGAGAGGCAAATAGAGAGGCAAATAGAGAGGCAAATAGAGAGGCAAATAGAGAGGCAAATAGAGAGGCAAATAGAGAGGCAAATAGAGAGGCAAGGGGAGAGAGTGAATGAGAAAGAACCTCTCGAGATTTGGTAGGGGATATGGGGAGGTGAGAATAGGAGAGTGCGAATCGTCTTTGATGCTATTGTTTGGGAAGGAAGATACGTGGGGAGCTAGGAGCTTTGTTAATCACTATTCAACAATAAAATGCTCTTTCTTTGCTACATGCAGAGAAGTTTTCAATATGAAGTGTTTGAATGTTACACTCCTTCGAATCTTGAGACCCGAGCTAGCTACCGAAGAGAGAAAATAGTTATGCCACCGGAAGTACTACTTTTTGTATCCATTCCTGCCTATGGAGACTTGGAGAGAAAGAGAGATTCTTCACCTGAAATATGGGAGTAAGTCTACGGAATAGAGATTCAGAAATTGAGAACTTGAGAGGATACGGGAAGTAGTAGTTACATGAAAAATGATTGAAAGCTGAGACAGAAAATATAGCCGAAATAGCGGACGCAGGGGAGTGAAAAGGGATGTTGAAAGAGGATTTACTTAAACCTTCGACAAAGGAAACCAAGATCAAGAACAGCACAAAAATGAATATTGTACTCACATCAAACGTCATCATTGATGATCGACCTGAAATAGAACTATACACAAAAGAAATACAACAAATAAAATTCAATCAACCTCCACCTCACTCAATAGGGCAGTAGGAAGCGTTTTCTTCATTCCAATATTTACAATCAAGATACTGTTCTAACTATAATACAATGAATCTATCCCCTTCTTATATATTTGCTTTCTTCTCGTACATCTCCAATTTGAGGATGACGTCTAGACATCTAAATTTCGCACTCACCATCTTCCTCTCCACCTGCATCCGTTGCATCAGTTGCAACAGGAGCAACCGAGCTAGCAATCTCGGTTGAAGAAACTTCACCACCTAACCCACCATCTATCGCACTGTTAGTCAGTCTATGCAGAAAGGCACTGAGAATAATAGTCATTCTGCTTTACACACGTACCAGCAGAGCAAGACTTTCCTCCGGCGCAGTTACCATACAAAGGGACTGAGCCAGATGATGAAGCAGCGGTTGTAGTAGCTGGTTTAGCGGAAGTAGCAAGAGTAGAGCTGGATTTTTGGGTGACAAGACTGGTTTTGCTGGTGGAAACGGCAGCAGCTGAGGAAGAAGCTTTGCTGGTAGCAACGATTGCTGTGGAAGAGGCCTTGCTGGATGTAGCAGCGACCTTTGAGGAGGGAGCGACGGCGGTTGAGGTGGCTACTGCGAGTTTTGAAGAGGTGGTGATTGCTCCGTGGGATGCGGAGGCTGTAACTGAAGACCCACCACCATTGGCCATGAGAGCGGAGACAGGGGTTCTACCTGGGAAGAAAGAGGTTGGGACGGTTGGGATAGGAATGCTTACGCTCACGGCGAAAGGAGTAGCTAAATCTTGGGCCATGGTAGAGGCTTCGTAGCCGGTTGGCATAGCGGACCAAGATTGAGTTGTAGTGTAAGCGGATGGGGAATCGGTATCGGCTTTAAGACATCCTCCTGAACCGTAAGCATTTTGGCAGACGTATTTTCCGGTGCTACCGGAATCAGCTCCGATGGCGAAGTCAGTGATGGTGATATTGGTGCATGGAACGGTGGATGAGCAGAGGAGGTTGATTGGTCCACGTGCAGTGGTGCTCTCACACGTTCCCTTCCAGTTGTTGAAGGAGAGGTTCTCGTAGATGACTCCATCACCGGCAGCTTTGCTTGCTTGAGGCCAGGCTGCGTTAATGTTTAAACTGTAGGCGTTCGAGCGACCAATGAAGTTGTTGAATTGACAGTCAGAAACGGTTCCGCTACCACCGTTTGATTTGATCATGTACATTTGGTTAGATCCATAAGTGTAAATATTGTTGTAGATGATGTTGGAGATGGCAGTGTCTGCTCCGAGAGATCCCATACCACAGCCTCCTGAACTGTTACAGTAGATATCTTCAATGAGAAGGTGATTGGAAGGATTCTATAACGTGATTAGGTATTTTAAAAAAGCTTCATTGGAAAAAAAACTCACCTTGACAGTAATACACTCATCCTTGTTAGTCACTTCAACATCATGAATCCAGATGTTTGTTCCCCAAACATCAATACCATCAAGACCACCCTCATCACCACCACGAATGATCATGTTGTAAACCTCTCCGCTCTCGCAAGTATCAATGGAGAAATGGAATGCAGGGGCATCGACTAAAGCAATGTCGTGAATGGAGAAGTTTTTAGCATCGAAAAATCGGAGGAGACGTGGTCCATAAGTCGAGTCTTTGTGAAATTCATAACCATAACCTTGAATAGCACCTGCAGAGGTACTACTGTACATCTCGAAATCGCTAGTGTGTTTGATCATGATCATATTTCCATCATCGCTACCAACACGATAAATGATACCATCAAGCTTAAGTGCCCATGCCGAACCTCCGCTGAGTGTAATCCAAGTACTCATACCATAATCTCCAGGTGGGACATAAACTGTTTAAAAATGAGCTTTCAGTAAATGGAAATGGATCTTGAACTGTGTACCTGTTCCACCAGTCTTGCAAGCAGCGAATGCAGAAGTGAGCGCCGGGCCAATATCTGAAGTCTTGCTTGCCTTTCCACCATAATCCAAAACACTACAAATTTTTGTGGCTTTAGATTCTCTTGAAGTCAAGGGGCCAACTGAACCAGTCAATTGTGCTGATACTAAAGCTGGGAGGACAATTGCCGCGAGGGCTGATAATGTGCTGATTTGCATTTTGCAAATAGTTTGAAAAGGAATGATAGGAAATTGAAGGAATGGAGAATGGTAAAAGTTCAAAAATAGAAGTGAACCTCCAAAAGAGTGAAAGTCAGACAAATCCGCGTTTAGAACAGAAAAGAGAAGTCAAAGATAGAAAGCTTCAAGAAGCATTGAAAGATCTGGAACTATACTTGCCTATATGTACCGAATAGGTCTACCATGTACTTTTCACTCGCTCGAGTATATGCCATGTCCATGTTATGCTATTCCTGTGTAAGGAATCAATCGATAACTTGGTGTGGGGAATTAAAGGGACGATGCACCTGGGTAAGATCAAAGAGATGAGCATGATGAGGATCATGGAAATCCATGTTGATGAAGTCAAAATCACTTTGCTGTAGCCAATTAAGGTAGTATTTAGATTAAACAACACTAGTTGTTTGAATGTGGGATTGAAAGAATGTTCCTACCGACGATTTCATATATCCGAGGGGAAATGTGGTACTAATCTTTGAATATATCCGAAACTTTGACCCGCCAAAAAGCGGTTAAATGCCATGGCTTGCTTACCTCTTTCGGTAGCGAGGCGATTACAGTAGATTTTAGTTCTTAGTGTTCCCCTGAATGCAGGTACGACACAAGTTCCTAGGGCTTCTTGATTGTTAGAGTGTTGCTGCTTTTATATAAATCTCCTCCTTTGCCAAAGTTTGTCAGTATAGAAGATATGTTGTGCAACTTGTCTGTGTGAGGAAAAGGAGGATTGATTCGATATGAGATCAATCAAACCGCATTGAAAATTAGCTTGACAAGTTGACATAGGTACATAATTGGTGGCGTCCGTTGTAAAGCTTCCATCCCAACAAAAAGGAGTAGTTGTCATTCGACAGCCATGTTTCGTGTATATACTTCCGACGCCTAGACCTGTTTATACCCTGTGCAGCATTGAATATGTACGAACCATGACATTATTGACAGCCCTCTTGGGTCAAATGATCAGACGGCATCTTTTGTTTCTTCTAAAGAGAGCAATACCTAATCTGTTTTCCCCGCTTCGATGATCTGCTCAAGACTCAAGTATTGGAGTTGACTGTGGGCTTTCTCGTATGAATATCGGTAGCTGTACGAATGTGAAAAGTCCGAAGGCTGATCCATAAAATTCTCACCGAGAGTAATAATAGCAGTATCAAAAGTTTGAAGTTTTATTGATATTCTTTTCACAACAATGTCCATAGTTTCTTGAGAGCATTTCGAAATTCAAAGAATTTCTACTTTCGCTGCTATTACCCAATAAGGAGATCGAGAGGAGCAACAAATTAAGGTTTCCTTGCGAGTATTTGATATATTTTCCGAGATTAAAAGCGGTAGACCAAGTTGTGGAGGGATGTTGATGGCCTTCGAGAGTCCCTGAGACTCCGCAGCAAGCTCTTGCTTGGAAGTAAATTAGCACAAGCACGATGAAATGCGTCTGTACTGTAAAACATGTGTCGCCAATGTGTATAGGTATATAGGTAGTATCTCTTCGAATGAAGAATGTCTTGTCGAAAATGAAATGGAAAAGAAAGGGGTTCATTCTTTAGGTTCGTTCTTTAGGTTCATGGAAAAGGTTGCGAATTCATGATACATATCAGATGTGAGATTGGGTGTCAGAATACTATATATTAATGTCATATTGATGATATCCATGGATGGATATATCAAAAAGCAAAAAGTTTATCGCGAGGCTATGAATAAATTTCAAGATACTGTGGCTGATGCGGGGTCACTTAATAATCGTGGCTGATGATCTGTAACCTGAGGCTGTCTAAATAATTTTTGGCAGACGAAGGGCTTTCAATAAACGCGACTGTCGATTTGAACGCGCTGGTCAGGGAAGAAGTTTGTCCAAATATTCTGCTTTTTGTTTGGTTTGTTCGATACCTCTGCAGTTTGTTTCAGCACTCTTTTGATATAGGAAACCTCGCACATCTTCAAACATGGCGATGAGTAAGTTTTTACCTGCTGTCACCGAGCATATGTCTTAAAGAGCTTCTGCTAACCACCCCGCTATGTAGATATTGATATGTCACAGGGTAAGTTGTATCTGTACACACCACCAAATCGCCCTGGAAGCTTACAAGAAATTTATAGCTTCTGTGATCAAGGATGAACAAGGAAGACCTTTCATCGTTGTTAGAGAGTAGGGATTTAAGTCTTTCCTGCCGAAAGTTCAAGTACTGATGAGGTTATAGTCAAGGAAAGAAAAAGAGACAACATGGAAACGAGGCAGTCAAATCACATATTCTCGCAGCGAGGACAGTAGCCA